TTGCTGGGATTTTTGATGCACAAGTAAAAAGGCATAAAGATATACCAAATACAGTGGGCATTTGAACCTCAGTAGTGCAAGGACTGATGTCAGATCGAACTTGATTTGCTAGATGAGCTGGGTTTGAAATGTTCTGTTTATTAAGAAGTGCTATCAGTTGATTGTACTGCTCTTGTGTGATGGGAGATTGATTTCTACCAGGAATCTCAGTTCGTTTTTGTTCCTGCATAGTTATTTGATTAGCTGCAGATTTTCCCTTGTTGTAGAGCTTGTGACCTGGTGGATACCCATGAATTTTGAAGCACTTATCTATGCTATGACCAGGCAAATTACAATAGGAGCACATTGGTTTGTTGGCCTTAAGGCATCTTTCCAAAAAATGGCCGGCAATCTTACAATGAGTGCAAAAATATTTGGCACCTCGGTTAGCTGTGTATTGAATCCCATTTCGAGTTTCTCTTCCCATCATTGCCATTGATTCAGTAATAGGTGAGTCCATTGAAATTTGTCTCCTCTTTTCTTATTGTTGTATAATAGAATATACTTCATATAGTCTTGGAAGAAGCTTAATGAGAAGAATTTGGGCTTTCATGTCTTTGTAGGATTCATTAAGTCCCATGAGGAATCGCATCATCCAATCTCTTTGCTGATTGTCAATTACAGTGCCAAGTCCTCCACAGGTACAGTTGGGTATGGGTTCATAATTCATCAACTCATCAAGAAGAGTTTTATATTTCGAAAAATAAACACTCACAACATCTTGATTTTGCATCAAAGTACTGATGGCTTGTTTTTACCTCATAGATTCGTGGAGCATTCTGCTGACCCAACCGGTGTTCGATCTCCAGCCAAAGCTCTCTAGCAGTGTCTGCATAGAGGGTACTAGATTTTACCTCAACAGACATAGTGTTTCGCAGCCAGGTGATTAGAAGATCGTTGCAGCGAAGCCAATGGTCCATTAGAAATTGTTGGGGTCTGTTGGTTTTGCCAAGCTTCCATCAATAAATCCAAGCTTGTTTTTAATTCTAAGTGCTCTTTTTATTGACCTTGCCCAGGGATAATAGTTAGTGCTGTCCAATACGTGACTGACCAGTACGGTGCCTGAGCTATCATTTCCTCCAATATAATATGGGCTGTAGAGATGAGTAGGATCATGAAGGTTTGGTGTGGAGTGGGCATTTTGATTTTGCCGAGAATTTTGATTATAATCCTCAGGTCCTGCAGATTGAGGATTTGGAATCGGGTCTTCGTGTGCAGTAGATTGAACCTCTGTGCAATGTCCATCAGCCATTGTTAACCTTGCTCTGATACCATTTCACAAAATGGTACTTAAGGAAGAAGATGATTGAAGGAAAATGTGGAAGAAGTTTTTATGTTCTTCTTGAGAGAAAAATGTTTACAATCACAGTATATATATATATATATACATACACAACACAATACGTGCTCAACAAGCTCCCTAACAGAATTGGAAAGAGAAAGAATTTACATATTCTACACACTTCCTCAACCAGCATCCATGGTATATTCTCTTTGCAATTTTTTGTTTCTTTCACCTTCTAGAATGCCTTGCTGGACATGCTGATTTGGTTTGTCCACGTTGCAATCCTGCTGATATGGTATGTCCATCTGGCAATCCATGTTCCTTTCACTCTTCAACATATATAAATGGTAATTTCATTTTAGGAAGCCAGTTTCTTATTCATTTTAATAGCTTCTTTCTGGTTACATTTTATAACGTATTTTTTGACACCACCATAGTATGTAGAATCAAATGGTAAAATCTTCATAGACAATGTAGTATATGCTGATGTTATAAATTTATGGCTTGGCAAGAAAGATCAAATATGGGTTTAATCTGAATTGAACACGGTACCAACACTGGTTTAGTCTAGCATTATGATTTACACTGGCAAAAATGGTGGTTCTTCGATATGAATAAGTTCGAGCTCTTGTTTATTATCTAAGAATGTGATGTATTAACAAAGGAATGTTATGGATATTTGGTGGAAACCTCAAGGACATTTCAAACCAAACTACGAAACAGGAAGTGTTCCATTCGTAATTTCAATGGCACCGGCTAATGTTACAGGTTCATTTTATATGGGGCATGCTATGTTTGTAAATCTTGAGGTTGGAAAGTATGGTTGTTTCTCGACTTATAATTTCTTAATGTTGAAAGTTTATTGTCTTTTTTGCAACTTTAGATATGGCCACTTTCGAATCTTTTCTTCATAAATTATTATGATTTTAAATCCATCTTAGGGTTGTAAGACGTGTGCATGAATTTTTAATTCCATTTTAAGAAAATATAGACTTCAATGAAAATTGAAGTTACATAATATATTCGCCAAATTAATCGTATAAATAAAGGTTAAGGGATTAGTTTGTAAAAAATGAACTATATGAGTTTACCTCTTCTTCTGCTAAATCTGTTCCAATGGGATCGAACTACCACTGCGAAGGTTTCAATTCTTCTGGAATAGTTGATATTTTTATCTTCAATAGATTTAGGCAGATCGAAAGTATCCATGCTATATACAAATTATTTATCATATAGTTAACTTTTTTGTGATCTCATCACTATAAAACAGCTCTTTGAAAGGAGATGGAATATTTTCCCATGGTTTTGACATGGAGGGAACTTATAGCTAATGCCCCTTCTCCTGTCTCCCTAGTTATGAATGGTTGAATTGACTTTTTTTTTTGTAAGACTGTTACACTTTTCCTTAAATTATCGTTCTTGTGAGAATATGGTTCTCTTAACTCCATTACACTTAAGTGCTATTTGTGTAATTCACATGGATTGTGCTTGTCTAGTTTTATTATGGACCATTGGATGGGATCGACAGCCGGGATTTAATCTATTTGAGATATTTTTGTTGCCTTGTCTTGGGGGAGAAGTTTTGACTTAAGAGTTACCACAAAAAGGGGCTTTCCCCACGTTTTTGGCAGACAGGTCTTTTCTCTGTTCTCCGGTCGACCACTCTCTCCATTTTGCACCTCCTGCTTGGTAGAAGGTTGAGGGTGCGTTGGTGGCGGTTTCTAGCGAGGTTCTTTGCCGGTTTCTCTCTCTCTCTTTGGAAGGTGATTTGCATGACATGGGAGCTGTTCTTGAACCTATAAATCAGCCATAAAGAAGAGGAAAAGTTGTTGTCCATTTCGACCGAGATTGGGTTGTGTTTTTCCATTTTATATTCCTTGATTTTGCCTTGGAATCTTTTATTGATTGATGTTTATTGTTTGATTGAACTCCAAGGATCCCAACAAACTGGTATCAGAGCACGGAGGAGTGAAATCTGTCCAAAAATCTATCGAAACCTCCAAGGAAATCGCGATTCCCACTTTTGGCCGAATCTGAAACTTCAAATTCCGGCCAAACTACTGACTTTTTGGCGAAACTGACCCTGGACCCATAACCAGCAGACGAAGGTGCTCCCTGTGGTGGGGCGTGAGATCGGAGCGACGACCGGCGATCGGCGGCACGTGAACTCCGGCGACGGCACGTGGCTGGACATTCCGACGAGCTTTTTTCGAGCAGTTTACTTATTTTGATATCCTGAACATACCGATGTCGTTTGTTTTCTATTTCAGGTTTTACAGAAAAAATTGGACGATTTTGCCCCTGGCTTGACGTCTACAGCAATTCGGTTCAGAAACTTGGTAGTATATTTACTGTTTTTCAACAGTAGTTTGGTAAGATTATTCCAAACTCTCTGTTAGGTTAGGTTTGGTATCCTTACCGATTTATGCATGATTATTGCTTGATTGCCTATTTGTGAATTCCGTTGATTGAATTCTTGTGATTAATTTGTAACGTGGAAGCATATTTACTTGCATTATATACCTGTGTTTCGTGAACGGATTATGTCATTTTTGTGCTTCATTTCTAAAATTGTTTTTTTAACTCGGCATTCATATTTTTTATATTGATCATCTGGAAAAGAATTTTTCAAAAGCTTTTCTGTTTTGTCCACGAGTACAGGCCACTCTTTTACAGAATCTGTAATGGGTTCGAGGGTCGAATTATTGCAATTCGATGGAAAGGGGGATTACTTGATATGAAAACAGAAAATGAGGGTCATTTTGGTCCAACAGAGAGTTGCTAAAGCTCTCGATGATCCCGTTACATTTTCTGATGAGTTAAAAGCTAAACCAACCGAAATTGAAGACATGAATGAAATTGCTTACAGTTCTATAATTTTGCATCTATCTGACAACATTGTGAGACAAGTTGATAGTGCTAAAACTACTAGAACTTTGTGGACTGCTTTAGATGCCTTGTTCTTAACTAAAACTTTACCTAACAAAATATACTTGTTGGAAAAGTTGTTTAGTTTTAAGATGGACCCGGGGAAGGATGTCGAGGGGAATTTGAGTGACTTTAGCATAATTGTTAAGAGTCTAGCTCATAATGATAAAAAATTTGATGATGAAGATTTAGCTGTCATATTGCTAAACTCTTTACCTGAATCTTACAGAGAAATGAAAAATGCCATAAAATATGGTAGGGACACTCTCACTCAAGCTATTGTTTCCGATGCTTTAAAATCAAGAGAACTTGAATTAAAAAGAGGCAACATAACTCATTCCCGGGAAGAGAGTCTATTTGTTAGGGGAAGACTTGAAAAGAAAGAATTTAACTTCCATAACAAGAAGGGGAGAAGAAAATCTAAAATGAGATCTAAATCTAAAGATAAAAGCGATAAGAAATGTTATCACTATGGAAAGTTAGGATATTTCAAGAAAGACAGCTTCGACTAGAAAAGGAAACAAAAAGACTCGAAAAATTCTGATGTTGATAATGCTGCTATTGTTTCTGAATTTGATAGTTTGCATGTCATGAATGTGTCTGAGGAAGAATTTGGCAAAAATTGGATTCTAGAAACAGGGTTAGGGCTGGGCAAATCTCCCGAACCGAACCGAACCGAACCCGACGGTTCTTGTCAAATTAAATACTTGAACGGGTATCTGAATTGAGAACCGACGGGTACGGTTCGGTTCTTCGGTTCTACTAGACCTAGAACCGAAGAACCGAATAAGAACCGAATCTTTCTAATTTTATTTTATTTTTATATTGAGTAAATCAAATTATTTTAATTTTTTCTAAACAAATTAATAAATTAACAATCTCTAAATCCAAAATTTTGGCCCAATAATTTGTTTCATGTCTAATTTTTTAATTTTTGGCCCAGTTACCTATTTTATTGTTTCATTTCTTAGCCAAGCAAGATCAAATCCACTAAATAACCCTAAACACCAACACCAAAACCAAAGTGCATAACGTTGTCTTGACTCTCGCACTCACTCTCGCAGCCTCGTTAATATTCCAAAACCTATACAATTATCGGTCGACACTATGACCTTCGATCGAAACTGTGACCTTCGCTAACCGAAGCTTTGATCGTAGCGATCATTTGAACAAGGTAGTTTACTAGTCTCTGACATTCCAAAACCATTGAATGTATCATTAGTTGTATTTATATAATGTTTTTATAAATGTTAAAAAATTTAATTATAGTACAGAACCGAACGGAATTGAACCCGAACGGTTCCATAATTATGTTTGGAACCGATAGTTCCATTTACTAGATACCCGAAAAGTTCGGTTCGGTTCGGTTCTCTTTAGAACCGACCCACGCCCACCCGTACACAGGGTGCACTTTCTATATGTGCCCTGATAGGTCTTGGTTCTATAACTATAAAGAGACTGAACCTAGGAAGGTCTACATGGGAGACAATAATTCTCAAAATATGGTTGGAGTTGGTGACATAGCCATCAGAATGTACGATGGGGCTATCACACAACTCAGAAATGTTAGATATGTCCCAAATTTAAAGAGGAACCTCATTTCCTTAGGTTCTCATAAAGATGAGGGATATACCTTCAAGTCTGGTAACAAAATTTTGAAAATCATGAAGGGTTTTCTCATAGTTATGAAAGGGCCTAAGAGGAATGGACTTTACTATCTTGAGGGTAGAACTGAAATACCAGTTGATTCTAGCCTTCTTATTGTGAGTAAAGACAAAACTAAACTTTGGCATAACAGAATGGATCACATTGGGTTTAAAGGGCTAAAATCTTTAAGTAATCAAAAATTACTTGGAAAAGATGACATCGAAACTATGGAATTCTGTGAAACTTGTGTCTTGGTAAGTCCCATAAGGTGAGCTTTGAAGCTAGCTCTCATAGGACTAGCAGACCATTGGACTATGTCCATGCTGATCTATGGGGCCCGGAGAAGCACTCCACATTTGGTGGAAGCAAGTACTTCTTGTCCTTAGTGGATG